AGACATATCCGCTGCTACACTGTGTGCAAACTCCAGTGATTGATCCACAGTTTGAGTTGCATGATACTGAATTACAACTTATACACTTACCATCACTTGGTGACGGGTAATACCCGTTTTTACACATGGAACACCCTCTTTTAGTAGAATCACAATTTTCACAATTTTCATCAAAAAGTGAACAACTCTGGCATTTAAAACCAGTGTTTTCTAATGGAGTATAACCAGAGGAACATTTTGAACATAACATCATATTTTGATCACACGTTTCACATGAATTTGAATCACATGTAATACAACTTCCATTGGTGTATGGAAAATATGGTGATTTGCATTCAACACATACTCTCTTTCCTGAGGTATCACACTTTTCACAGTGCTGATCGAAATCGGCACATTTTTGGCACGTTTTTCCTGAGATGGCATTCAGCACATAACCAGTAGCACAAGTTTCACAATTTCCAGTTGTTTGATTGCACCCATCTTTGCACGTTGGGTCACAAAACGTACAATTAAAAGGAGATGTTGTTGATGGATAATACCCCGTTTTACACTTCAAACATTTTCGTTGTGTTTGTGAACACTGCAAACAATATATGTCAAAATCGATACACAAATCGCATTGTATTCCAATATCTAACAAATCAAACGCTTTCCTTGTATAATTTTCTGCGCATGTTTTACAAATCCCGTTTATACCGTCACAGTCTGTTGTACATGTTGAATCACAAGAAATACATGTGTTATTGTCTTGTGGATAAAAACCACTGTTACACTCATAACACTTTCTCACACCTTTTGGATAACACGTTTTACAGTTTAAATCGAATGTGGAACAACTCTCACACTTTCTTGATTCTATTTCAGTATAAACATAATTGTTAGTACAATTGGTACAAATTCCATCAATACTTGAACATTGATAATTACACGTCTCATCACAATTTAAACAACTTCCATTATTCAAATAAGATCCTTCTGAACAAGAAAAGCAAGACGTATTTGTCTGACTACAAGTAATACACTTGTTAAGATCTCCACAATTTTGACAAATAGTCATATTTGGAAAATACCCTATATTACATTTTGAACATATTGTGGTGTCTTCTATTGTAGCAGAACAACTTAAACAATTGTTACTACACTTTAAACATCTTGTTTTATTATTGTTAATAATATATCCAGAATTGCATTGCCCACATATTCCACTTTTATCATTGTATGTCGCAACTTCAATTGAACCAGAAGCACAATTATTTACACCACACATATCAGTTAATTTATCAAAATTATAACGTTTTATGTGATTTCCTTCTATACATACAACTTGACATCCACTAATAACTGTATTTGTACAAAAAACATTTGGGTGATTTGTGCAATTTGCAAGAAAATAACCATCGTCACATTTTGTACAAAAGTCACTGTTTCCGTCAAGAGTTACTTGACAATTTTCTAAACTTTTTATTGTTAATTTACTTGTATTTTTAATGTCAAATGATTGAGTAAATATATTTGAGTATGTCATATTAAGATTGATAAATATAACAGTTGCATTATTTAATTCAAAGTCTAGTTTTTTGATATATACATCAGTGTTAATAAATAACTGGGAAACGTTTAAACAAGTAATTTTTTTGAAAGTTGAATTAAACAAGTAAAGTTGATTTTCTTCATTTTTAAAATTGATCCTTTTACAACTGTTTGTTATATCATCACGAAAACAATTGATTTCATTATTTCCATTGGAACACCATTTAAATGAAAATGACAAAGAAATCATTACTAAATAAAAGACGTTCATTTTCTGCCTAACTGTTTTTCAAATAAAAAGTTTTTCATTAAGTCGAACAAAGAAATACTTTAAAAGCATGATTATACATTACAAATATTTTATTATTTTATTACTTATTTGTTAATAAATTAAATGTATTTTAAAACAAGTCTATAATAATTGGATAATTAAAATATATTATAATTATATTTTTATGATAAAAATAAACTTCGAATTTAACGAAATGTAGGTACAATTTAATAATTGTATTATTAATATTTATCATTTCAAAGATGTTAAATTCTTAAAAATTATAAAAATAAGTTTGTTTCTTATTAATAAAATTGAAAAAAAACAACCAATAATAAAAATACTTGAGCAAACATTTTCGTGTTATATTTATATTGTTTTTCTCCTAATATTTTTAGATAAATTAATGTCATTTTTCACCATTTGAATATCACACAAATAACAATAAACTTATTATTTATATACAATTATAAACAAAATTATTCGACTGAAATAATACATTGTAATTTGTATAAAGTCTGTCTAAAAACGTTGTCCATTTGGAAAAATTTTAAACAAAATAAGTTTAAAAAATGGGAATTGACAAAAAAAGTTGAAATCCTGGTAAAAATTATGAAATAATGTTTTTGAATTGTTTCAAACTATGTTTGGATATATTCCGATTTGATAATTTAAAATTATTGGAAAAAGTTTTTGAACATACTATATAATTCTTTCGACTTTATTTATATTTTTGTTTTTCAAAGCAAAATAATTTTTTATTTTTAATTGAAAAAATATAAAAACAAATTTTTAATATTTCATTTAATAGTAAACTATACTATTAAATTTTATTATAATTGTTAAACAAATATAAATAATTTTTATTATTATAATAATTGTATTATATTAATATCATTATGATAATATACAATATAATTTAATAAAAATATAACTTTAATATAACAATCAAATGAGTCGACTTGATGGATATCATATGATGATAGTGTCACAGTACTTTAATGCAATACAAGACTTTATAGCACTTGAATGTGTAAACAAGAAGTTTATGAATAACATGGAAAAGTTTCATTTCAATTAAATACCACTCAACAAACAGACAATCAAATATTTTCCACATATAGAAACATTAAATATTTGGTCACCCACCGACCAATGTTTTGGGAACAACATTTATAAGTCCACCGACATAGACCCAATCGATAAGATCGACTTCTATCAAATTAATATTTGGTATGAGATGACATACTCTCGCACGTGTAGAGTGACGCACTCTAATTGTTCATTCAAGAGACTTTTATACACAAGACAAGACACCATTGTTTGTGGTACAAATATACCTGCAAACACTGTCATCATCTGTGACATCTGTTTTCT